AAAAAAAAAAAAAAAAAAAGTGTTCAGTGGTGCTTAGTGCCTGTCATGTGGTTATGTGACATGAATGAGGCTCCTATTGAGGTGAGTAACCAGGCTGAGAAAGAGACACCCAGGGCCTGTGTGGAGTTTGAAGCCCAGACAGTTTCTCCCCAGGAGGTAGAAGGTAGGCAGATTAGTCACAGAGTCCTAGCAGTGACAGTTGAAGGTGCCACCAGGTCTACCCTCATTGTCCAACAAGACTAGAAGAAGAATGAGAATTCTAGCCAAGTGCAGTGGCTCTTGCCTGTAATCCCAGCACCTTGGGAGGCCGAGACAAGAGAATTACCTGAGCCCAGGGGTTCAAGACCAGCTTGGGCAACTTGGCGAGACATCGTCTCTACAATTAAAAAAAAAAAAATAGCTGGGCATGGTGGTACTCGCCTGTAGTTCAAGCTACTTGGAAGACTGAGGAGGAAGGATTGTCTGAGCCCAGCAGGTCAAGATTGCGGTGGTCATTGCACTTCAGCCTAGGTGACAGAATGAGACAACTCCAACTCAAAAAAAAAAAAAGAGAATTCTGAGTTGAGCTTCCTCCTGTGTTCTGCTGATAAATGTTTCTCAAGCATCTATAATGTGCTAGGGTGAGTGCAGAGGAGAGCAGGCTGACAGAACAGGTGAACCCAGAGGTTGGGGTGTCTACTTGTGAATGTGATGAATGCCATGTGGAAACTTGTAATGGAAGAGGGACAAGAAACAGGAAGTGGGGAGTCAGGGGACCATCAAGTAGAGTCCCTAAAGATATGGAAAGAGTGAAGAGAGCCAGGTACAGTAGCATGCACCTGTTGTTCCAGCTACTCTGGAGGCTGACTGGAAGGATCGCTTGAGGGAGACACCATCTCAAAAAAAAAAAAAAAAGCCAAGGCCAGGTGAGGTGGCTCATGCCTATGACCCAGCACTTTGGGAGGCTGAGGAGGGAGGATCTCTTGAGGCCAGGAGTTCATGACCAGCCTGGGCAACATATGAGACCTTGTATTTACAACAAAATTTAAAAATTAGCCAGGCCTGGTGGCATATGCCTATAGTCCTGGCTACTCAGGAGGCTGAGACAGAAGGATCATCTTAGCCCAGGAACTTGAGGCTGCAGTGAACCAGGATTGTGCCACTGCTCTTGAGCCTGGGTGACATAGTAAGACCCTGACTCAAGCCGGGCTCGGTGGTTCAGCCTGTAGGCCCATGCCTTTGGGAGGCTGAGGTGAGTGGATTGCCTGAGCCTGCGGGTTCTAGACCCACCTAGGCAACTTGGCGAGACCTCATCTCTACAATAAATCAAAAAACTAGCCGGGCATGGTAGCGTCTGCCTGTAGTTCCAGCTACTTGGAAGGCTGAGGCGGAAGGATCGCCGGAGCCCAGCAGGTCGAGGCTGCGGTGGCCGGGAGCGGCTACTGCACTCCAGTCTGGGCAACTGAGTGAGACTCCAACTCAAAAAAAAAGACCCTGACTCAAAAAAAAAAAGCCAAAACTAAGAGTGGAAGAAAAGCGTTCTAGGCCAAGGACAGCAAGTGCAAAAGCCTGTGCGGAGATGAGCTTGGTGTGTTTTTGTTGCCTTAGGAGTGGATGAGGGGGAGGGGAATCTCAAAGACCGAGTGGAGGAGTTTGAGTTTTTTTCTGGGTGTGAAAACCCTTTGGAAGGTTCTAGGCCATGAGGGACATTGTCCTCCAAGCATGGGTCTCAGTGATCAGAGGATTTGGGAGCATGTGTGTCCAGGGGCAAGTGGTCTGCAAAAAATGTCAGGGTCTGTATCTGTCAACCCTAATTCCCTGACTCCCTCACCAAACTGGGTGCGGAGTCAGCCAGGTCCTCCCTCCAGGAACAGTCAGACGGTGGGGACACATTCGTCCAGCACAGTGACAGGGCCGCAGCAAGGGCTCACAGGATATAAGGGACCTGCCTGGCCTGTCCCTTCTCAGCTACATTGAAGCCAATCCACGTTCATTTATGGTTCTGTATACGCAGCTGGGTTTTCAACCTGCTTGGCGTTCTGGGCAAGTGGGCCACCCTGGCCGGCCCTGTGTGAGGTTTGTACTCAGCTGGAGAGAAGCTAGCTGAGCAGTGACCATGGAGGGCGCACCTGACACCTGACGGGCTTGCAGGTCGAGAGAGAGCAGTGAGGCACATGAGGAATAGAGCTGGCCCTCCCAGTCCGTGCCTGGGGCCCTCCTGACCACGCTCACCTGCTCCCTTCCCTCTGCCCAGGGGCCTGTGAAGCCTCCCTGGCTTGCTCCACCTGCCACGTGTATGTGAGCCAGGACCACGTGGACCTGCTGCCACCTCCCGAGGAGAGGTGAGTGGCAGCCCCTCTGCGCCTCCCCACCTTGGCCTGCTGCCTGCCCGCCCCGCCCCTCGGCCACCTGCGCCACTGCCGACACTGCCCTTGTCACCCAGGGAGGACGACATGCTGGACATGGCCCCCCTGCTCCAGGAGAACTCACGGCTGGGCTGCCAGATCGTGCTGACCCCGGAGCTGGAAGGAGCAGAGTTCACCCTGCCCAAGATCACCAGGAACTTCTATGTGGATGGCCACGTCCCCAAGCCCCACTGACACCGGCGGCTGGGCCGCCTGATCACATGGCCCCAAGACCAGGACTGAAGGAACAGCGGGGCCCTGCTCAGGGCCTGGGCAGGCCGAGAGACGCCGGAAGCCCGCAGGACAGAGCCCCCACTTGGGAAAGGCCTGGCGTCCAGGCTCTGGGGGAACAGGTCCCTGCTTGGGCGACCCCCCAAGCCCCTGAGGCTGGGGCCGCGTAGGGGTGGGCTCGGGTGGGAGCCGCAATAAAGCTGTCTCCACTCGCGCATGCCGAGTGTCCTTGGGGGACGGCGCTCGGGTGTTCGGGTCCACACCCGCAGCTGCTGGGGCGCTCCCCTCCCACGAGCCGCGACGGGGCCGCTAGGGGGCGGAGGCCTGGGACCCCCCAGCCTTCGAGGGTGAGGGCCAGAGTGGCCAGGCCCCGCCCTCGCAGCTGCGGAGGGATTCGGAGCGTGTAGGCCGCCTCGGCCTGGAGGGGCGCGCAGGTGACCTAAGAGCCCAGCAAGGACAGGAGGCCAGCTGCCCGCCCAGGTGCAGCTCGTTGCACCCTCGCCAGCTGGGGCTCATCGGCGGGGCCCGTGAGTTCCGGGGAGCTGTGCTGGGGCGCAATGGAGGTAGCGCCGGTCCCGGACTCGATGCTACCGGAACTCCTGGCGCCGCGCTGTCTGGACCCGGCTCGGCCCCTGGGATGCCCCGCCCAGCAAGAGCCCGCGACGCCTGGATGCCGCAGGCCCAGCAGGAGGTCGGTAAGGCCAGGCCCTGACCCTGCACCGGCCTTGACCAAGGGTCACGACCTCTAGTTCCTGGGGCTGTCCAGGGTGGCGATGATAGTTACTGCTACTTACAAAGAGGAGGTTCTGGTCCTCAGGGACACTAGGGTCATCTGGGGATCAGAGGTCCCGCAATTCCATGTCTCTGATTCCCATGTAGGCACCACCTAGGGTCGTCCAGGGGTATGTAGGGTAGCCCGATAATAATGATAACATGGCCGGACTCGGTGGCTCAGCCTGTAATCCCAGCACTTTAGGGGCCAAGGCGAGTGGATTGCCTGAGCCCGCGGGTTCGAGACCCACCTGAGCAACTTGGAGAGACCTCATCTCTACAATTAAAAAAAGGAAAAAAACTAGCCGAGCGTGGTAGCCCGCGCCTGTAGTTCCGGCTACTTGGAAGGCTGAGGCGGAAGGATTGCTGGAGCCCAGCATATCGAGCCTGCGGTGGCCAGGAGCGTGCCACTGCACTCCAGTCTGGGTGACAGAGTGAGACTCCAACTCAAAAAAATAAAAGATAATGATAACAGAATCTTAACAGCAAACCAGCTGGGTGGGGTGGCGTGCACCTGTGGCCCCAACTACTCAGGAGGTTGAGGGGGGAGGCTCGCTTGAGCCTGGGCGGTCAAGGCTGCACTCAGCTTGGGAGCAGCAAGCTGAGTAGGGACCGTGGAGGGTGCATCCGGTGGGTGTGCAGGTCGGGAGGGAGCCATGAGGCACATGGGGAACAGAGCTGGCCCTCCCAGTTCATGGCAAGGGGAGCTGTGATCGGGCCACTGCACTCCAGACTGAGACAGCGAGACCCTGTCTCTATAAACAAAAGCCAACAAACAAAATCAGCAAACCGTTTCTCCGTAGAGTAACTGGAGACTTGAACTCCTGACTCAGTCACCAGGGCAGTGCTCCCCTGGGTGAACTGCCGGGTGGATTAACTGGTAATCGATGTAGAGGGCTGAGAATGGCATTGGGGGTGCACACAGTAGGCTCATTGTGTTTGCAATTAACTTGGTAACTTTTAAACCTTCACTCTGAGCCCCAGGTGGGCGTGTCACCTGCCCGAGGGCACGCAAGCCTGCTGGACCCAGAGTACCCAGGAAAGGGAGTGACCCACTGCCCCTTTTCCCTAGGTCCCTCTGGCCTGTGTGCCAGGGCTCAGTCGCTGCCCTGCGCTTCCTCCAAGAGACGGCAGAGGGGCTGGCCCAGCCCCCTGCCCAGGACACCCAAGCCCTGGGGCTCTGCCAGGGGTCAATGGCTCTGAGGACTCAGGGCCCCCTGCCGCTGGACAGGGATTCCAAGAACATGCTGGCCCCGATCAGCCTGGAGCCCAGGGGGACTCTCCCAGCCCCACCCCAGAGAAGGCTTCGGAAGCAGCTAAACCCCCGCCGGGGCGCCGAGAGAGTGGACCCCAGGTTTAAGGGGGTGACTCTGCAGTTTCAGATCAAGCCAGACTCCAGCCTCCAGATGGTCGCCACATACAGGTAGGGGTGGCCAGGGTGGGCGCCCTGTAGAAAAGGAACAGCGAGAGCCCAGTGGTGGGGGACAGGGGCACTTCCAGACATCTGCCTGGGACTCCACCTGGGCCGCATGTTACAGATGGCCCGGGCTGTGATGGGGCCTCGGCCTGGTGCTGGAACCAGCCCTGCCATGCTCCTGAATCAGTCACTCCCACCTCCAGGGTGAGACCCGGTCTCTGTCTGACTCAGGCCTGGCCCTGCTGCTGCTGCCTTTCGTCAGTAATGACAATGACAGCGAGAGGTTACAGGCAGCACTTGACACGTATGGGCTTCAAAGCCCATTTTGCAGGTGAAGACTTTGAGGCACAGAGAGGGAGCTCACTTGACCAGGGTCACACAGCCAAGGCCTGAGGGATTTGAGATTTGAACAAGGCCGGCTAGCCCAGGCTTCCTGCCTTTTCAAGTAAGATTAATTACTATTATAATTACTAATGAGGCTGGGTGCAGTGGCTCACGCCCGTCATCCCAGCACTTTGAGAGGCTGAGGCCAAAAGTTCCAGACCAGCCTGGGCAACATAGCAACACCCTGTTTCTACCAAAAAAAACAAAAACAAAAACAAACAGACGTGGTGACACGCTCCTGTGGTTCCAGCTACTCAGTAGGCCGAGCTCAGGAGGTCAAGGCTGCAGTGAGCTATGATCACACCACTGCATTCTAGCTTGGGTGACGGAGCAAGACTCCATCCCCCTAAAAAAAAGAGAAGTCTGGCTAATGAGAGACAAAGCCAGGCCTTCAGACATCAGATGCCTCCCTGGAGGATGTGTGGTATATTCAGAGTCGGTCTTCATTTTGGGGGGCTGTCGGGGGCAAGATACAGCCCCCCAATGCTGACGCCTTACCTACCCACCAGCCTGGCCTGCAGTGGCCACTCTCCGGGACCCCCTGCGGGCCCTGCTGGGGGCCCTGAGGCCCACCCTGGAGGCAGCGAGGCCCACGTGGGAGGCAGTGAGGCCCTTGGTGAGTCCTGAAGACTTGAGAGCTAATAATATTTTGGGAGGCCAATTTCCTGTCTTCCCTGTCTTTCTCCCTGCCCCCCTTCCCTATCCCGCTTCCCCATTTAGACCGTCCGGGAGGAGTCCCAGCGCCCCCCTCCTCTCAGGCTGAGTCACCCCCACCCCCGGCTTCCTCCTCTGCCGGGCTCTGCCATCTGTCTGCCTTCCTGGCTTCCAGTGCCTGAGCTCTGGCAACACCCAGGGCTGGCCCAGAGCCAGGTGGAGGCTTCACAGAGCCCCCCACAAACTGTTGCACCCCACACAGGCCTCCTGGGCTCACACACTCAGCCTCTGACCTTTGCCCTGGATCCTTAGGGGCCCGGCGCTGTGCCTCCTGCAGGACCCAGAGGACCCCACTCTGGAGAGATGCTGAAGATGGGACCCCTCTCTGCAACGCCTGTGGGATCAGGTCCTCGAATGAAGGAGGGAATTGGGGTGGGGGTCCCCACGTGAGGGCATGCTTCACCAGCATGGTGCATGGGAAAAACAAAACACTTTTCTCTTGGGGAAGGTAGTTTCCTCATGGTGGTTTGGGGCCCCTGCTGCATTCTGAATGGCAGTTTCTTGTTCCCCCCTCGCCCCAGATACAAGAAATATGGCACCCGCTGCTCCGGCTGCTGGCTAGTGCCCAGAAAAAGTGTCCAGCCCAAGAGGCTCTGTGGCAGATGCGGAGTGTCCCTGGACCCTCACCAGAGCCCAGCTCCGGAAAGTTTAGCTGTTCTTCTTCCTGCCGAGTCGGTTCTGCCTCAGTTTCACCGGGGGGAGGATGGACAGAAGCTCTCCTAGGCGGGGAAGCAGCCGGCCTGCCTCCTCCCCAGCCCCGCCCCTTTCAGGGATCCCAGGGAAGGACCAGGCCTTAGGCCCAGATCACCAGCCCCTGCTCTACTGAGCCCCCTCAGAAAACCACGTAGGAGTCATTAACATGCTGTCAATTGCAGGAACAATAAAGCGCAGAGATACTCAGAGCAGTGTGAATTGGGGAGCCCCCTCGAGTGCCCCTCCCAGCCTGGGAAGGTGGGGCAGATGTTTCCTCACTGGGATTGTGAGGGGTGCATGCTTACACACACACACGCACGCACACCACGGTCATGTATGCAGGCGGGGAGACAGGCACATTCACCATGTCGTCCTGCGCAGGGAAACAGTCTCCACCCACAGAGGTAGTCAGCACACACAGAAAGACACACAAGATGGACGCGTGTGGAAGACAGACATGCTTCTCAGACAAACACATCGACAGACACGCATGTGCTGACACCCACCTGAGACACAGATGCGCAGACCACACCCAAGACAGACGGGTGTAAATGACACAGTGGCAACAGAGACACACGCCATCAGGCCCTTCGTGTCATCCCCACGCCCGCCTGCAGACTGTCACTGCCCACTGTGTCCCCTGGCCCCATTCAAGATTCCCTGAACCCGGCCAGAGGGTGCCCCCCAGCTAGAAGCCAGAAGCAGGCCCTGTACAGGCAGGATACACAGGCCACAAGCGCTCACTGGGAGGGAGGGGGAAGGGATGTCAGGGATGGGTGGGAGGCAACTAGGGCTTCAGGGGGCCACAAAGCCGCATGCCCCTGCGCCACCCTCCTTGCCTCCCGGTGGCCTTGAGGGGAGAGGCCTGCCATCTTCAGCCCTCAGATAGCTAAATCATTCGGTCCCACCCTTCCTCCACTTCTCCCCGTGACTGCCATCTTCTCATGACTTGGGGAGGTCCAGCCCCAACTTCACCTCTTCAGAGAAACCATCCTTGACCACACATTCTTTTTTTTCTTCTTCATTCTTTGAGATGGAGTCTCATTCTGTTGCTCAGGCTGGAGTGCAGTGGCACACTCAGGGCTACCGCAGCCTCGACCTGCTGGGCTCAGACAATCCTTCCATCTCAACTTTCCAAGTAGCTGTAACTAACTACAGGTGCGTGCCACCATGCCTGGCTAATTTTCTGATTTATTGTAGAAACAAGGTCTTGCCATGTTATCCAGGCGGGTCTCAAACCCCTGGACTCAAGTAATCCTCTTGCCTTGACCTCCCAAAGTGCTGGGATAACAGACCTAAGTCACCATGCCTAGCCTGACCACACATTCTAAAATTAACACCCCTAAGGCTGGGCACAGTGGCGCATGCCTGTATTCCCAGCACTTTGGGAGGCTGAGGCAGGAGGGTCACTTGAGCCTAGGAGTTCAAGGTCAGCTTGGGCAATATAGCAAGATCCCCTTCTCTACAAAAAAGTGAAAAATTAGCTAGGTGGGGTGGCACACACTTGTGGTCCCAGCACTTTGGGCGGCTGAGGCAGGAGGATTGCTTGTGGCCAGGAGTTCCAGGCCAGTCTGGGCAACAAAGTGAAACTCTGTTTCTACAAAATAAATTAAGCATCCCGCTGGCCGGGCATGGTGGCTCACACCCATAATCCCAGCACTTTGGGAGGCCGAGGTGAGAGGGTTGCCTAAGTCCACGGGTTCGAGACCAGCCTGGGCAACTTGGCAAGACCTCATCTCTACAGTTTAAAAAAAATAGCTGGGTGTGGTGACGCACGCCTGTAGTTCCAGCTACTTGGAAGGCTGAGGCAGGAAGATTGCTTGAACCCAGCAGGTTGAGGCTGCGGTGGCTGTGAGCGTGCTACTGCACTGCAGCCTGGGCGACAGAATGAGACTCCAACTCAAAAAATAATAATAAAAATAAACATTTCCACTCACCCCCTCCCCATGTCAGCCTCCTTACTGGTCCCCCCTTAGAACCTACCAGAATCTTCACTCCTTTATCTGACTTGTGGTTATGTTAGTCACATCCATGTCCCCCACTGGACCATGACGACTTGGACCTGCGGTCACCACGTCAGCATCCTCGCCCATGGCAGCCCTCCCCAGTGCCCAGCATAGAGAAGACCTTGGGGGTACACACTGAATGCGTGAAGTTTTCGGGCTGTGTCTGCAAACTCATTGCTTGCTATTTTGATTCTACTTATTTTTTTCTTAGAGACAGAATCTGTCACCCAGGCTGGGGTGCTGGGGTGCAGGGGCACAGACATTTCTCACAGCAGCCTCTACCCCCTGGGCTCAAGCGATCCTCTTTCCTCAGCCTCCCAAGTAGCTGGGATGAGCCTGGCTATTTTTTTTATTTTTTTCTAGAGATGGGGTCTTGTTATGTTACCCAGGCTGGTCTCAGACTTCCGGCCTCAAATGATACTCCCATCTCATCTGGGAGTATAGGCATGAGCCACCGCACTCGGCTCACGGCTGTTTTTACCCATTTATTCAATATTTGCTGGGCAACTATGTGTGCCAGACCCCAGTGACACTCAGTGGTAAATAGAACAAAGATCTCTGCTCTGGAAGGGCCGGTGTCCTAGGGAGACAGTCAAAAAATTTTCAGTGAAGCCGGGCTCGGTGGCTCAGCCTGTCATCCCACGCCTTTGGGAGGCTGAGGAGTGGGTTGCCTGAGCCCACGGGTTCAAGACCCGCCTGGGCAGCAAGACCTCATCTCTACAATAAGTCAAAAAATCAGCCGGGCGTGGTTGCGTGCACCTGTAGTTCCGGCTACTGGAAGGATGGCCAGAGCCCAGCAGGTCGAGGCTGAGGTGGCCGGCAGCGGCCACTGCGCTCCAGTCTGGGCGACAGAGTGAGACTCCAACTCAAAAAAAAAAAAAAATTCAGTGAAGAGTCTGATAGGATGTTAGGTTGTGATCTGGACTACAGAGGAAAATCAAAATCAAGTATGAGAGGAGAAAAGCGAGTGGGCTGGGGGCCCCTAACTGTGGGACTGAAGGAGAGCATGACTGCCAGGTGACATTTGCATGGAGATGTGAGGACAAGATGCTACCTCTGGGACAGTTGGAGGCCACACTCCAGGCAGAAGGAACCCCAAGAGCAAAGGCCCTATGGCAGGTGGGAATCTGTGGGTTTCAGGAAACCTCAAGGCTGGACACGGGGCTTCACACCTGTAATCCCAGCACTTTGGGAGGCTGAGGTGGTTGTGCACACCAGCTATGCGGGAAGCTGAGGCCAGAGGATCGTTTGAGCCCAGGAGCTTGAAACCAGCCAGAGCTACGTAGCAAGACCTCAAGCTACAGAAAAATAAAAAAATTAGCTGGTGTGCACCTGTAGTACCAGCTACTCGGGAGGCCGAGGAGGGAGGATCACCTGGGCCCAGGAGGTGGAGGCTGCAGTTGCAGTGAGCTGTGACTGTACACCTGCACTTAAGCCTGGGTAACACAGCGAGACTCTGGCTCAAAAAAATAAAAGAGGCCAGGCGGAGTGGCTCAAGCCTGTAATCCCGGCACTTTGGAAGGTGGAAGTGAGAGGATTGCCTGAGCCCACGGGTTCAAGAAAAGCCTGGGTAACTTGGCAAGACCTCGTTACTACAGTAAATCAAAAATTAGCTGGGTGTGGTGGCATGTGCCTGTAGTTCCAACTACTTGGAAGGCTGAGGTGGAAGGATCACCTGAACCCAGCAGGTTGAGTCTGTGGTGGCCATGAGTGTGCCACTGCACTCCAGCCTGGGTGACAGAGTGAGACTCCAACTCAAAATAAATAAATGAAATGAAAAAGAAAAAAATCCCCAAAAAAGGCCAGTGGGAGGGGAGAAGGACCATTAAGGGGGGCAGGGACAGGCAGAAAAGATGAGGTGACAGGTGGGCAGTGGAGGCTGCACCTCACCCGTGCCTGATGCCTTTTGTACCTGGCAGCCAGCCCCCAACCGCCAGCACTCCTGCCATTTCTGTCATCTCATCTATGCTCGTTAAAAATCGGCTTGGGGCTCAGCGCTTCCTTCTCAAGGGCTCTGTGTTCCTGCCTCTAGGGAGGAGGGGGAGGGAGGAGGCTGGGGGGAGCCCAGCTGTTCTGCCTTCTGCTGTTGGGGGTGAGGCGATGGGTGCTGTGTGGGGGGGGTTGCAGCTGATACCCTGTGTGTCTGTTCTGAATCACGACGGACTGAGGCAGGTTGGGGGTAAACTGAGGCGCTGTGGGTGGACACAGGATGGAGGAGGCTTTGAGGGAAGGACAGGGTTGCACCCTTTATTTATTTATTTATTTAATTTTATTTTTTGAGTTGAAGTCTCACTCTGTTGCCCAGACTGGAGTGCAGTGGCCACTTCTGGCCACCGCAGCCTCGACCTGCTG